TTTTAGAGTTTTTAGAGTTTTATTAGATATAATTATTCCATTGTTTAATGTGAACGTGTTGTACATTTAAACAAATATGCAGAATAAAACGGATTAAAACACGTTACACGGAAAAGTTCATTTATATTCATTATAATGTGCGATGCATTTAAAGGTAGCTGATATCAAAATATGAAATACATCGCTGCGAATATATGCAAAAACTGAAATATATATGTACGATCGTGTAAATGTATGCGGCTCGTAACACTATATGATTCAAAAACAATAGGGTTATTATAATTGCAAAAGTACGTAATAATTTGATGGAGCAATTCCGGATTTTACTCACGATCCGGATTTAAATTCTCGAGTAAATAAGCATGCACAGGCTGTACATGAAAATTAAAGACAGTGTACATATAAAACAAATTATGCTAAAAACTTAACAGTTTAATAAATAGATTCTACAAAGTAAATAAAAAACTTGCTAATCTAAAGCGTAATTTGTATAAGTTTATTTATATACTTTATGCACGTTAAACAAAGCTGTTATAAAAAAATAATTGCATCTTTTAGTAAAAATAAATTGTATTGTGTTTTAGATGATATAATGAGAGATCTTTTTTTTATTTTTTGTTTAAGAATAAAACATAGAATTAAAGGAAAATAAAATTTTTTATATATTATTTCTTTTAATAATTATTATTCTTTTATTAAATTATATTTAATAATATTAAATTACATCTTAGATCTTTACCTCACTAGTATAATTATATTACGTATTTAATTTCATATTTTTACAATTTACTATGTATTATTTTATTTATATATTTTATATATTTTTTATTTGGTTAAAGTTTTATTATATTTTCAATATAATTGTACTATGAATATATATAAAAGTATGTTGTGTTGCAAATTTTATACGATAGATTATAGATTCGCGAAAATTAATGGTTATTTTATTCATACCATCTTTCGTTTAGAGATTCCTTTAGTTCCATGGCGCATTTTATATTCGAATTGTCTAGAACAGACGGTCGCCATTAATCATCATGCCATGCGAACTATCGGGACTTCGATTTAAATCGATGATAGAGGCGCGATCGCATTTCCTATTCGTCTATCGCCACGCTGCTTCCAAATCGAGGAAGCTGAGCCGATTTAACGAGGGATTGCTCTTACGAAGCATGTTAGATGTAATCTGTAACGGCATTATAGCGATTTAGGCAAAGCGGACTTAGTAAACTCTGAAAGAACTTTCTCGTATATTTTATATTTCGCATTTTATGTTATTATGTCAATTCTTCTACACAAACCTACAAAAACCACCCTACTCGAAGCGACACAATTATCTAAATTTAAGAGGTACCAAAATAAACCGGTTACAAATTAAAATGAAGAGCTGCTCATAATTTAATGGGAATTCTGCGTACGCGGGAACAATTAGGTGAGAAAGTTTGATGACGCGAATGTGGGGAAAAGGCAGAATCAACTCAATGGCCAGATCGAGAGGTTGGGCAGGCAGGCTACAGGCTAATGCATAAACAATGCGCCGTTTATCCGCGTTGGGGATGCAACCCCAATGAATAATAAACTACCCTACGTGGATAGATAGAACCCGGTCTGCTACGGAGAACAGTGAATGTGGATGGAGGATTATCGACGAGAAAGTACAACCATCGTCCGTGCACGATAGGTCAGGCGAGGTGTGAATATTATTGCCTTCGGGATTCTTTAAAGCAGGGATTTAGAGCCAAATCGTTGTGACACATATACGAATAGTAAGACAAATGTCTTTTATTAATTCAATTCAATAAAGGTGTAGGATTTCCTTTTTAAATTATTTCTTAAAGCTAAGCAAATATTTTAGCGTAAGAATTATTTCGTTTAAAATTGTTAATTTTATTATGGTGGAAGAAGTAACAATTAATAACGATCAGTAATATTTTTATAATTGCAATATTGTTTTAATATTATTTTAAATTTGATATTTACATTAGGTATAAATAAGACAAAAAGAGTAGATAAGATATATATAAGATATTTTTTACTTGTGTCACATTAAGTTACATGGGGAAAAATTATTATATTTTAATATCTACAATATATGCTAATTTAATTTACAATAATTAATAATAATATACACATGTGCGCGCGTTGTTTAAAATTAAATTCAGCAAGTTTTTTACGTAAATAAATATAAAAATAAATTAAATAGTAAAGGAGAATCTTTTTATAATCCAAAATCAATATCAAAATGAAAGACCTACAATATGCGAGCATTTCTTCGTTTATTCAACGAGTTTTACGAGAAATCGATATGTCGCGCGAATTTGAAAAACTTATTCAGGTTCTCCGTTCATTCAAATCTCGCTATCGGTTTATCTGTATTTGTTTATGCGACAGATGGATCTACTGCAACCCCGATTTATATCCGTCTCGGTATAATACTTCATCCATTGTCACGTCTCCCGACTAAGAGATCGTCGTGATATAATACTCTTTCAGTTTATGTTACAGATAATTCTGTGAAATATCGAGTATAATGTTACCGCAAGCGAGCGAGTTATTTTGTTCTTTTATTCAAAGTTCTGGACGCGTTATTATTTTTATTCGCGGTGCAGGGTTTGATCCAGCAACTCTAGATGCGCCCTTCAAAAGAAATAATTCAGCATCGCGAATAAATGCCGCTGCGAGGCATTTCTGGAAAAGCCTCTCATTTCCCGCGTCTTACAGAAGCAACGCTATTTGTGAACTTGTATGGAACTTTAATCCCGCGAAATTGCTTCGTATCCATGTCAGCGAGAAGTTTAATATCATAATTGAGTGTGGCGGCGGAGTGGGCAATAGTGCGCAATGAAAGAAGTTTCATCGAAGGCCGGCTCCTCTGTAACTTACGCTCGTGTACTAAAATGTTATAAACTCTTAAACGATTGAATTTAACTAGACATTCATTAGGATAAGATTACGGATTATCCTTGTCTTGCCCCTTTCTCTTTCTCTCTCTTTCTCGGCAGAGAATAATGGCAAATGCACGAATCCCTCTTTCGCAGAGACAATTTATCTCGTGAGCCAGAAGAATATACGATAAATGTAAATTCTGCCTACTCCATCCAGTACTTCTCGTTAATCCTCGAAATCTCCTTTATAATATTGTGTAACCTTGGCGTATCTTTTATCTGAGCTTTTTTAGGATTTCTCTACAAATTTCATTAACGCAACGAAGGCCACGAGTATCACAATTTTAGACGAAAGTACTAGTTTAGCAAAAACCTGACGTTTACAAATGAGAGTAAAGCAAGTTCCCTTAGTTGAAGGGTTCTTCTGGATTGTCTATTACCATACATGAACGCGCATGAGTTGTAAACAATGGTTGACCAGAATTATAGAGAGTAAGCGAGTTTTCACACGACAAAGTGATAATCACCTGTTTCGCATAATTTTCTCTCTCTCTCTCTCTCTCTCTCTCTCTCTCTCTCTCTCTTCTATTTCTACTTTTTTGCTCTCTGGCGATAGGAGCCTCAACTTAATCGCAATTGTTCTGATGGAGTGTGCATTACGTGTGCATCCGATGCACGTACACCAGCTACGCCCGCGGTTGCGACGAAAACGCTAACGGTAAACGAGATAGCAAAGTGCAAAGTGAAATTAAGCGTATATGATTTCGCTGTCTTGCTATTTATAATACTTGCTCGTTCCTCGAATTGAAATTATCGTATACTGATTTTAATTAATGCGTGAAGCAAGTTTTATGATTCGCGAAAGGGGAAAGTTTCTGTCAAATTTTTGGGTACGAATGCGAGAATATTATTTTTCAAATATTATTTGCTAAAAATTATGTGCAATAAATAAAATTGCGTAAAATAAAAAAATCGAAGAAGCGATAGAAGAGTGGGAATTAGGCCGCACAAGAGAGCGGATGAAGCCGAGCGCGCTGTGATCAGGAGCAGATAGAAATTAATGATTTCGCGGGCGAACGCGCGCGCGTACAAGAGAGAGAGAGAGAGAGAGAGAGAGAGAGAGAGAGAGAGAGAGAGAGAGAGAGAGAGGGAAAATGGAAGGTTTTCCCTTAACACGATAAAATGTGATCCTCGCTTTATCAAGTTAGGATAATCCACTTATTTTCAACCGGTAGCGAGGGTGGGAAAAGGAGGGTGGATCGGCATGGAAGTATGCGACGAGATTATGCAGGTGCAAAACCCGGCAGGAAATACTGTCTTTTAAATTAATTATTTCGGAGAACGCTTGCATCGTGCTAGCTCGATCCGCTAGTGAAATCGAGTTGTTTGCGCTCGTCTCGCGCGCGCGTAAATGCATCCCTCTTCTCCGTCACCACCCGTTCACTCCCTCCCCCCTCTCCCTCGCCCTCTCCTATATCACCTTCTGCCATTGGACCAGTTCCAATCGCGAATTGAACCGTTCGTAACTGTTGAACGTGAATTATGGCGTTTATTTATTTTAGCCTGTTTTCCTGCGCGTCAGCTTCCACTTCCGTTCGCGCGGTAACCATCGGTCCATATATCTGCGCTCTTAAAATCAACACTCGACCAGTTTGTCTAAGTTACATAACGATAATCACTGTCCCTGATTACAAGTGATTTGGCCAAAGGAGGTCAATTGCGTGCACTTGTACGCAAAGATTATGTACGAAATTTTGATTTATGTATTTATTCAGATAACTGCCTGATCAACCTCATATCTCTCGTCTGATATTTTATATAACACTTTTTTTATCTCTTGACTTCTGATCTCTCTTCTGATCATTAGCTCTGTTAATTACACATTGTCTGCTCTGATATGTTCAGATATGTTCAAATTAATACGACTTATTATTATTTATTAGATACTTTTTTTATATGTTAGCTCTTTTAGAAGAAAATATTTGCTTTTGATCTTCTTATTACTAACAACAATTTTTAAATATTTTAACGAAAATTTTATACCGTATTAAATTGCTATTTGATGCCTATTTGATGCTCTGTTATACGCAAATTCTCTGTGTACAGAGAAGCGGAGTACAGAGAGAAATCCTTTTATATAGACTCGTAGCATAGGTCAGATTCGTGATCTTCATTACTATGCGGTGGCTATTATTTCGTATCAGAGCATCGCCGGTCCGCGACGTAAAGTTTCCGACATTGTCTGAGTAGTTTATGAATACTGCGACGGTGAGATGATTGCGAGGGAAGACTGTTGGGTTGAGGGCGGGTGGTTGCCGGGAGAGGCGTTTATCAACCCTCTGTCGCCGACACGCGCATATACGCGCAGATATACATGCAGTCCGCTTCATATTCTCGCGACGCGATATTCTCTTCCTCTCGCACTTTCTCTCGCTCCTCATCCCTTCAGTTTCTCTTCCGACCTTGCTCTCGAGCGCGCTCGCGCGTTTAACCCACCCAGGCCTTATAATTCAAACGTGGGGAACCCCTTTGACTCGTACTCGCATACCAGATATTACTTTTACACATGTGATACTGCATCAGTTTCTGGAGACAAAGGCAACGAATGTATGACGGCGAGAATAGGGGCATCATGTGTGGGTTGGTCGACGAAGTTCGCGCTTCAATTTCGCCGGAACCAGCGAGTAATTTTCTACTTCTTCCTTTCGTGCCATTCCCTCTTTTTTGTTAATCTCCTGGCTGGCTAGCTTCAGTGGGCTCTCTATTGTGAATAAGGTTAAATGTGATGAATCGCTATCGGCTCTATCAAGTCCACGTTCCGCTTTGTATGCGGTTTTGATATTCAAAAGGTTCTATTATCCAACTCAATTCTTTTTTTTATTTCTTTATTATTTAATTATTCTATTTTCTAGAGTTGCAAATTTGTATTTTCACATTATTAAGCAAAATTTCATACAGTGTATTATCAAGTATAAATTAACGGCATTCAATGTAGTATATATATTTAATTTTGGTGAAATAAAGTCTTTTTAATAGCAAATATAATATTAAATTTTTTAAATAACATTTTAAAAAATTATATTACAATATTAAAAAATAATTTTTAATTTATGCAATATAGTATTTTAATTTCTCAATTATATTTTTTAAATTATAAGTATTTAATTAGGTTCAAATAATTATTAAATATTTAAAAATAATTAAATTTACAATATATATTTATTTTGCAATTATTTTCTAAGGATTAAAAGAAATATGGATATAATAAAATGTTTTAATTAAAAATTAAAAATATTTAATTAAAAATGTTTAATTAAAAATATTTTTTAATATTGTAATATATGGTATATAATCTGTCAAAATATTATTTAAACAATTTAATATTATATTTGCTATTAAAGACTTTTTATTTTACCAAAAACATTTATAGTACATTGAATGCCATATTTATTTTAACGAACATTTTAGTAATTTACTTACCTAATATAATATCGCGTTTATCGTGCAATAAATAGGTTCTTCATTGTATTCTAGTCTCGGGATACTATGGCCAAATACTATATATAGATTGTATTCAAGATGTGAAATATGAGTGGAAAGGGATGTTTTCCTATCTCAACCTGGTATCACGATTGGAGACTTTGAGTAATGATATTGATATATTAGCTTATTTGATACTGAAATTGCCTATTACCTTTTACATTGAGCAATATGTCGATCATCACAATACCGTTATCGATGTTTCTAGGAAACTTTTACTTGCTATCTTATCGATTATCGTGGGTAGTATTTGTCCGCGTGAAGAAAATTGAATACATGTCACGATAAAACAGCCAATAAAAGTCCGCAGCTTGACGGTCTTGAAGTATTGGCGTTTAACTCTGAGTTATTTCATTTCTTGACAAATGTAAATCTCGATAGAAAAATTTTATAAGAGTAGAAAAAAGCATTAATCATTTTGCGAGCGAAACAATATAAACCGCGAAATCTATTTCTAAAGCATAAGCGTTTAAATCATTTGGTCAAGAATTTAAAAGCTTTTCTGCGACGAATGAAAAGTGGAAGGAAAAAAAACAATCGGCTCGGAGAACATGAAACGAAACAGACTTTTCCAGATATTTCACTTTACCGAGTTATGAGTGCGCAGTTCGAGAGGGTCGAAAGAAGAGAAAATTGCGTTAGGGTAGTACGAAGAGTCGTTTTATTCCGAGCCATCTCCTATCCTTGACCCGTACACCGCCCAACCTTGCCGCCATATTTCACCCTCTAGTGCTCCTATCGTGTACGTACGTTTGACTTCATTTCCTCTGGCTTTGTCTCTAAGACTGGTTTCTTTGACCTGCATCTCAATGTCGCTCTGAAAAATTATACAATGTTCTTGTATAAGATGCCTCCGTTATATCGTATTTTATTGCATTTATGGTGCATGCGGACGAATGCAGGAAAGCAAGAAATGCCACGACTACTTGCAAAAGATTGTTCTGAAATCTCTTGAGATTTATTTATTCCAACTTTAATCTATAACGCGGTTCAAAGTTTTTGCGTTGTAATGATTTTTTAAACTGTAATAATTTTTAATATATTTAAGTGAAAAAATATTCTTTTCAGTTTTGTGTACTAACTTTTCAAATTACTGTACAAAACTTTTTTATGTTTCTATATATTTTACGTAAAATTAATGCAGAATTATAAATATGTGGAACAAGAATATATACTTCTTAATTTTTAATTGTCTTGAATTGTTTATCAAAATTATTATTGAAACAGAGTTTACACAGATATTATCATTGAGAATCATAGTATTATTACTTTAATATTATATTTGAACGTGATTATGTGTTATTTATACACAGAATTTCTTGTAGTAGAAATATTTTAATTGTGAAACTGTTTCATGGCAATACTTATATGCAGCTTTAATTATATTCTTAAAACTATCTAAATAAGTTAAAAAAGACATAAAATAATTTTAAAAAGATGTAAGTAATAAGAAAATATTATAATTTGAAATTTTATATTAAACTTTTAATATATGTTAAACTTTTAATTTTATAATACAGAGACTAAGGTAATAAACAGATAGAAATAAATGTTCAATTACAATGTAACAAAATAGATTCAATCACAATTATAATTTACTCCTTTTTTGATCTGGAAATTTCTTTTTTTATCTTCAGCTATAATAGTTTGTATTACAATAGAAATTTAATGTATTAGGGAAAAAAGTAAAATAAGTTTAATTGCAAATTTAGATTAAACAAAAGTTTTAATATATTAAAATAACGTAATTTAAATCAATCATTCTGGCAATTTATTGGTTGGTAAAGAATCACAACGTTTCGACCATGGGTTTTGGTCCTTATCGGATCCTTATTGTGTTTGATCGGGAGGTTGACATGACGATCTTGACATGTGATTTCTTCTTTTTTATATATTGGTTAACTAAGATATTTTCACTTGATAAGAACCAAAACCCATGATCGAAACGTTGTGATTCCTTACCAACCAATAAATTGCCAGTGTGGTGATTTAAATTACGTTATTTTATTTTATCTACTGGCGACATTCAAGAATTTAATATTATTTTAATATATTTTTTCTTTTTTTTAATTTAATAATATATATTTTATACATTTCATATGTTGTTTTTTTATATTATTAGTTTAATATGTTTTGAGTATTTATATGTAAATTTCAAATATATTTATAATTTTAAATATATTTATAATTTCCAATATTTGTAATTTCAAATATTTGTAGCAGTGAAATTAAATTTGTAGAATTAAAGGAGATTTAGAAGAATAAACAAGTATAGCATTGAAGTTAAAATACATTTTTATTAATCTAGGGGCCATTAAAGTATATGCAAACAATCTTTAAATTATTTTCATGTTAAAATAGTATTCAAATTTAAATCCAGAATTAGAAACAATTATTGTCCATGCTTTGTCAAAAGAAATATCAGAAATTAGGTACAAATTTAAATCAATATGATTGCTATCTTTTAATTAGATATCTCTTATTCTATATTGCATTTACTGTTAACATAAATGACATTTGTTTAAAAAAAATAACAAATAGAAGCATGATATTGATGGGATTAAATAAGAATGAATTTATCTCGCGGGGCAAGCAAGGCGTAGGCGAACGAAAGGTGTAAGCTCAGATTAATAGAGGTCGATTTCAGTATCGGAGATGGCAAATCGCGGTAATTAATATCGCCATTTGTTCCACGTCACATGCACGTTTACGCGCATACGTATACACATTTATATGTATACATACATACATACATACATACATATATATATATATATATATATATATATATATATACACATATATGTATATATGGCTAAGCCAGTGTGCGAACGTAGACAACGCGCGCGTATGTACACGCTAGGAGATAGGCACACGTTCAATCTAATTGAAAGGCGAAATACATATCCCCGACTTCCCAAAGATATTAATTAGCTTTCGCGGTTCATCGGGTCGCTCTCCAGGTTCCCGGAATCGGCGCATTTCACACGCAGCCACGCAATTTCGATGAGCGCGTTATGATTGCTCGCGTTATGGCTCGTTGGGATTAAATTGTCGCATTCGAGAATTTGTATGGTTCATTGACGCGTGCGCTATTTGAAATGAGTATGATGTAAATCTAGCATGTGAGTGACTTTGAAAGTTGATACGTGTAACATGAATATTAATAATAACAAATTCAAGATATTATGTCGTATCGTGCTCGCGAATTAAAAAGAAATATTAAATACGTTGGTAAATTATCTTATATATATTCTGAAAAATTTGTAAAGGACTGAAAATAGTAAAATGCTTTAAATTTCTGAAATGGAAAAGTACTTTTATGTACGCTTATTTTACGCCTTAATCGCCTAATAAATACTTATTTTGCGATTATATTTGATCTTAATTGAATCTGCGATTACGTTGGTATATCACTGTTCTTGTGAAATCAAAATCGATATATTTTGAATTCCTATTAATGTATTGAAACGCTACAGTTGCATTACGAAACAATACAGTTTGCAAATACCAATTAGTAGCATAATAAACAATACAGTTTGCAAATACCTGTTAGTAGCATAAATGATCAAATATGATGAAAGATCTCAAGTCTCAATTCCTCATCTATATTTTATTTTCGATTCTTATTATTTAAAAACGATCAATTGTACTTTATATTAATAAAATGTCTATTTTACAGTAGACATATTTCAGAATTTTTCAATTTTTGTATTCTTTTTATAGCATGTAAAATGAGATAGATGTGTGAAGTATATATATTTAATAAATTAATAATAATTTATTAATATTTATTTATAATTATTTTGCTCCAGCTCATGTGTCGGTCAGATACTAATTAATAACGTTATAATTTTCGAATTAATGAGATGATAATTTTGTAGCACGTATAAGCGATAACAAAAAATATTGAAAATATTTTATAGTTTATCTTTGATAAACAATTTATAAAGTTTGTCAATTCTCTTTACTAAATTCTGATGAAACTATGCTACATTTATATCACATTAGTTATTGCTTTGAAAATTCGTGCAATTATATACACAAAATAATGATTTTTTATCGTTTATTTTATGAAATACTGTAAGTAACTGGAATCATTGTTCAATTATAATAGAGCTTAATTATTTAGTAACAAGCTTAATGCGTGCCATGAATTGAAATTACTTGAGATAACATGGATTATTTAGCTATAATACATCTAAAATTGAAGAGAATTATACACAAAGCCTCATTAAAATATTGATATATCGGTCAGTTATAAAATGGATAATTATTCGAATTATATCTAAAATATATTAATAAACAATGTTTGTGTATTATTATTATTATTGCTATAACTTTTATAATGTTGTAATATTTTAATTAAGTTTAATATTATTTTTATTTTAATCATAATTTTTCATAAAATTTTGAAATAATAATAATACCGTTCTTCTTTTTTTGCCGGCTTTTCTTTTTGTTAGATGTTTTATCTCAAATAATGCAATTAATTCGTAAAATAGGCATGCGCAGATGTGCAACAATTCAATTTTATTTCTTTTTCATTTTATTTCATTTTGTTATTTGTTTCCGTAAATTGATATGTATGCAAGCATTATTTAAAACATTGGGATTACTTTGTAAAAGATGTTACGAAAGTTTATTTGTTTTATAAATCTCTTTAACTATTCTTAAGATTTATATGAAATAAATTAAAAAAGCTAAATTATTTAAAACACATTTTACATTTCTAATGCTAATATTTATATTATTATTATTATTATTATTATTATTCTCTCATCTTAATATTTTATTAATATTATCGAAAATATGCTATATTTATTGTGTTATTTTAATTAATTTATTGATTATAAAAACTATCATAACTTACATATCTCTAATTTAAATTGTAGTTTCTAAATTACATTTATATATTTTTTGTAGGGTTTTAAGAAGAAAAAAATTCATTCAATAATATATATTATTTAGCATATATTGTATGTATATTTATATTATAAATATCATATTTATATTTCTTATATTATAAATAAAAAATAAACAAACATGAGAAAATAAAAGAAATTAATTTATAAATTAAGCAATAAAAATTAATTTATAAATTAAGCAACAAAAAGTTTTGCAAATAAAAGAATAAAATATCGAACATATGATTCATAAATTTTGTTTATTTTAAAATATAAAAATTAGACTAAATAAATGTAAAAGCAACAGAAATTTAAGCTGCTTTAAAATAGGAAATGTATTGTGTAAAATTAAGTATTGATATTATTAGATTAAAAATCTTATTAGAAAGAGAGTGGGGAGAGAGAAAGGGAGAGAGATAGAGAGAAAGAGAGAGAGAGAGACAGAAAGAGAGAGAGAGAGACAGAGTGAGAAAGTTATGACATGTAAGAAGCTACAATAAATCTATCGATAATATTAAAATGTAGGATCCTTCATGTTTTTTAATATGACCTATAATTAAAGTAATTCATGTTAATCTAAGTCAACGAGGTCAAACATTATATAGTCTCTCATTTTGCATCGTAAAAGGAATTATTTTGTAACCCCCATAAAGCAAAGTGAAGAGTAAAAGTTAACTAAGTCATTAAAGAATTATAAGTTCTCTCATATAATGTTACAATATGAAGATTTTTTAGTTGATAAATGACAAAAATTTTATTATGTATCTTCATTTTGTAAATAAATTTGTTATCATGGAAATTGTTTCAAGATGATTTTCTTTTAATTTGTATAATATTTTTATTTAGCTATTTATAACTTTCGCTTTGCAACAGAAAATACAATCTTATTAGATTAATAACAACAGTTTTGTTTTGTACTTACAAGAAAATTTAAAATATAGTCATTATAATCAATAC